GCTCAGGTCCCAGGGTACTGCAGTATTCGCGGTATTTTTATAAGCAGCGTCGGGCGAACCACGTTCGTACTTCTGCGTACGCTTTGGCGTGTCAGCTAGCCAAATCCCGTGGGCTGTGGGTGAGACGGTGGTGTTTGGCTCGATAGTATACTGGATGTGTGGCTTTGTTGCCACAGTGGGAAATTTTTTGCTGTATGAGCTGCTAGTGTTCCAGACGCTGATGGCGTTTGCAGCTTGGTATTTCTTCATGGCAGCCGTGACGCCAGATATGCACATGGCAAAGCCTGTGTCGATGATGTCCATCTTTACGTTTGTGGCGTTTGCTGGCTTCGTGATCCCGAAGAACCAGATACCAGACTACTTTGTGTGGATTTACTGGTTAGACCCTATCGCCTGGTGTCTGCGTGCTGTCGCTGTGAGTCAATATCACTCGTCTGCATTCGATTTGTGTGAATATGCTGGGATAAATTACTGTACGGACCACAAGATGCAAATGGGCGAGTACTTCTTGTCGCTGTATGACGTGCCATCCGATAAGAGCTGGATTTGGCTCGGAGTGGTGATGTTGTTTGTCATTTACGCTGGGTTTATGCTGTTGGGCTGGGCTACGCTTGAGTACAAGCGCTACGAAAGTCCCGAACATATCACCTTGACAACGGAGAGCACAGAACCGGTTGCGACTGATGAATATGCACTTGCCACGACGCCCACTAGCGGCAGAAAGACTCCAGCCATGGGTGTGCAGAGTAGTGATAATGTCGCTCTCAATGTCCGAGCCACCACCAAGAAGTTCGAGCCCGTTGTTATCGCCTTCCAGGACTTGTGGTACTCAGTGCCAGATCCTCACAACCCGAAGGAATCGCTAACGCTACTCAAGGGTATTAGCGGATACGCGATGCCAGGTTCCATCACGGCTCTCATGGGCTCTACGGGTGCTGGTAAGACGACGCTCATGGATGTGATTGCTGGTCGGAAGACTGGAGGCACCATTCAGGGCAAGATCCTGCTCAATGGCTACGAAGCGAATGATCTGGCCATTCGACGCTGCACAGGCTACTGCGAACAAATGGACATCCACTCGGACGCATCAACTATCCGCGAAGCATTGATCTTCAGCGCCTTCCTTCGCCAGGACAGCTCGGTACCCGACAGTCAAAAGTACGACTCGGTGGAGGAATGTCTTGAACTTCTGGATCTACAGAGTGTAGCGGACGAGATTGTACGTGGCAGTCCAACAGAACGCATGAAGCGTCTCACGATCGGTGTGGAGCTGGCTGCTGACCCGAAGGTCGTCCTCGTTCTCCTGCTAAGTCGCCCCGACGTCATATGAAGACTCGGTCCAAGTCTGTACCGTCTTCTCCAAGTTCATGGTCGCCACCTCCTACACCAGCGTCTTCCTCGACTCCCGCCGTGGTCGACCTCAGTGGCGACCAGAGTGACGTGGACATGGGGACTGCTGATCCAAGTAGCGTCCCTTCGGTTCAAGAAACTGCTACAGAGCCTTCGGATAAAGATGTGACCCCTGGGGATCACGACGATGTTCCCGATTCTCCTGACGCGCCTTTGCCGCCGCCTCAGGGTCCACACGATGTGGCCAAGCCTCCGGCTTCCACGATTTCACCTTCTCCAGCCGACATACGTGCTGCTGAAGAAGCTCTGCGCGAGGCCGAGGAAATGCGGCTCATGTTTGGCTCAAGTGACGAAGCTGAAAAGTCGGACCAAACTGTCCCACAAGGCAAGTCTGCTTCGGCGTCTGCCGCGACGTCCAAGACAGTTAAAGTCTTGGGAGTGGTTTCTACAGCAGGGTCTGCCCCTGTTGAAGCTGCTCCACTAGCCTCCGTGTCTTCGAAGCCGGCTCCGACTGTTCCGACGGCTGTCGTACCAAGCGTGTCTTCGCCCGACTTTTCGATGGAGATTGATGACGATGGGAATGCTCATGACGATCATGGAGATGACGTGGATGATAATGAACCTTCGGTAAATGATTCTCCTGATGTTCCCAGTGGTGGCGATGATGTTCCGCCACCTACCGATCATTCAAGCACCCTCGATGACGAAGATATTGAAAATTACGAGAGGAACTGGAGCAATCTTGGCCCAGCTCGTTCCCCGACTCCTCCTCGGCCAAATCCTTCGCCGATGATGACTTCCCCAATCATCGTTGCTGGTCCGCCATCTTCGCCACCAGCAAGTCCCCCAGCATCTTCTCCTCCTGTTCCAGTGTCTCCTCGTCCGCCTATTTGGACTCTCGATGCTGGACCTGGACGCATGATTACGGCCACCTACACTTCGGTGCCGCGTCGTGGTGGTGCACCGTCGGTTGAGCCGTTGCCTCACCAAGTGTTGTCTGATGGTCGCCCTACGGTGCCGGCTTCGTCCACCTTGCCACCGTGGGTTCTTCCGTACGTGGACATGAAGTTAACTGACGCAGACGCCAAGAAGTGTTTTGAGCGTCTCTTGAGCTTAACCCTTCCCGAACCAGCTGGTGAGGTGACCGTGCGTACACACGTTGGAGGGTCTCCAAGCGTTTTTTTATTACTCGCATC